GAAAGCTCTAAAAACCTAGTTCAAAACTATGCTTAGAGTTACCTAAAAATCACCACAAAAATCCTACAATCTCATCAATATGTATACTACCAGCCAACCAAATATCAACTTCTAATTCTATGCCAATCAATGGTACAAAAATCAGCAAGCAACAAGTCCAAAATGCCAAATTAAAAAGAACTCAAGAAAATAGAAAAATGGAAATTAAATTGAAAATAATACAAAAATAAAATCCAAAAGCACAGAAAAATCAGAAATTAATCAAGGAGTATGCACATATTTTTTTCATAATTTTCTGATGAATATTCTAATTAAAATGAATTAAAGATGATGAATGCAATTAAAGAAATTGAAAAATGAAATAAAAAAATAAAAAGCCTCAGAAAAAACCACAACCCTAGGATCAGATTATTGGTCAACCCATCTAATGGACACGCGCGTGCCAACACATTAAATGAAGCTCTGCGTTTTACTCAGGGATGTTGTGTGGTTCAGTTGACTCACTCGTAGGCAATGCCCTAATCTTGGACGTTCATTGGAAAAGTATGGTGATCATAAGGTTCTCGTGCTGACACACAGGCTGGTCAAAGTCAGCCCTAGCCAAGAAGGGATCTGACACGCAGGATGGCATTACCTAGTCAATGCTTTCAAACGGATCTAACGGTGATGGCTCATCTTCTTCGTTCAAACCTGGCTAGAAAGAGAGGGAAAGGGACGGTGGCCGGAGAAGACCTTCGGTGGCTCTACAGTAGCATGTCATCAAAACCTAGCCTAACTCAACGAAACCGGTATGGTCCTTCTCGGATTTTCACAAGGATCCTGAATCTAATCTCCATTTCCTCTAATTCTCCATGAATAACTAGTTTCGAAGGCCAACAAAATTTGCATCAAAACTTAAATCATCTCTAAACTTCAAGATTATGATCCTAAAACAATCTATGTTCCACCTGCATCTTAACCACAATTCTAATTCTCCCTAAAACAGCCTAAAGCAAGAGGAATTTTGAAATGAACAAACCTGGACAGGAGCTTGCAATTGGAGGTGTTTGAGTGTGAATCTTCGTGCCAAATTGTGGAGAATCCTTCCCTGATTGATGCTAGAGCTATTGTAATGCTTGGTTCTCCTTCAATTGGCCTTGAACTTCAAACACGATCCTTGATTTTGCAAGCTTGAACTCTAACTGCAATAACTATTTCTCCCTCCAAATGCCACCCAAAATGATCTGAAATGGATCATGAACTTATATATGATCTGTTTGAATGATTATCAGGCCCATTGGAAGCCCAAATCAAGTAATCCAAAATTCAACTTTGCTTCCAAAATGTGAACATGGCAGCCACGAGTTCTATGCAATACTAGCTTCAAAATGCTTCATATGCAATGCTAATGACCTGTTGAAAGTGAATGGATCAGATTGAAACCTGAATCTTGATCAATGGTTGATCTTTGATGTGTTGCTTCATGATGAAGAAAGTAAATGAAAGTCCATGAATTATGTGTCAAAATGGATTTCTAGCAATTCCAATGTATTCCAAATGTGATTTCTAGTCAAAATATGCACCCACTTGACATTTCTTGAACACTTATGATTTATTTTGAATTTTTCCTTTTTAATGTCTTTAATAATCCCATTTGTCCAGTTTCTTTCAACCAACTCTTGTTCTAAGCCAAATCAAAGCCTCCTTGATACTTGGTTGAACTTAAAATCCCATTTTAAGCAAGTTTCATGTTGGACAAAACTTCACTTGAGGTTCACAAGATAGTGAAATGACCTATAATGCAAAATGTCCTAGAATTTCACTTTCCCAAAATACCCCTGCCTTGCAAAGCTTATAACTTGAGTTCTACAAATCCAATCAAGGACTTCAAGTACTTTTTAGAAAGCTAAGATCATGAGGAACAACTTTCATGTTTGTAAAAAGGTCATGTGAAACTTCCTTCTAAGTCAAAAGTAGCATGGAAGTTGGTTGACTTTTGCAGAAAAATTTCACATTCATTTGATGACCTGTAACTTGTCAGCTTCATAACTAGAATTCCATAAATCCAATGGAGGACTTATAGTACTCAAAAGAAAGCTAAGAATATTCTCTACAAGTTTCATGTGGATGCCAAGATGAGATGAAGATCACATCTTGAGCTATGTGGTCTTGAAGTTAGGCACTAAATAGGGGATTTTACACTGAGAACCCTGACTTAGCAACTCCTCACACTTTGGATTCCTCTTGAATTGATCTTGGAATAACACCTCATGTATCTCAACACGACCTTCCATGATCACAAAGCCTTAGAATTGAGTCTTAATCTTCTTTAATTTCCCAGTTGACTTAAGGTTGACCAGATGAAAACCCTAATTGCAACACCTTCAACTATGGCTGCTTGCACACTTGCCATGAACACTTGACTGAACTCCACCATGACCCTTAAGGCCTCCAATGAGCTTCAATGACAATCTCCACCCCTAGCCATGGGCTTATGATCCCCAGATGATCCTCAGATAGGCTCCTAGACAGAAGATGAACCACATTCACTTGCTTGCCTTTCTTCAAGGACTTTGACTTGCTTCTGATGATGATAACCACTTGATGACTTGAATATAATCCCTTGATTAGGCCTTGAACCTTTGATAACCTCCATTGGCTAAGCACACCTTTCCTGATCCCCTGTAAAATGCAACATGACTATGCAATGTGAATGCTAGAACAATGATATGCTAATGCAATGAAACATAAACCAAGTAAGGAAAAGGTTAGGCAAATTTTGGGGTACAACACAAGTTATACGTTAGTGACGACAGTCGCGGTGATCCTATTATTGATGTATGAGGTAGACCAGATTGTAAAGTTGAAATTTAAAGAAAAATAGCATTCAGATGCGCACCTAAAGAACTATGATATAATCATTAAAATAGATTATAGGTCATTAAAATATATTCAGATGCGCATCTAAAGAACTAAAATATATTCTAGTAATTATGTGGCCAAACATATTTATTTATTATTGAGCTATTTTTATCAATTAAGAGACTTTAAAATAATTAAGTGATCAAATAATGTTAAAAAGGCTATTTAGATTTTATTTATGAATTATTTAATTAATTAAATAATTGAGTATGGACTCAAATATGAGTGGATATTAGGATGATCCATTTGCGAATAATAAGAACCCTAATTGGCCACCATACTGTATATCTTTTCTTCTCATCCGAAGAGAATTCGAATCCTAAAGAGTACCGGTTGAGGAAGAACCACAAAAACCAACAACTGGTTTAAAATTACCGTCCTTTAATTTTATACATACTTAATTTCCGCGTCTAAATTATATATTATAATTTTTTGAGCAGATATATTTTGATTAATAGTTATTAATCTAATTCCAACAACTACAAGCAACACATTTTCCAAAGGTTCCCTCGCATCAACAAATTTTTCTAATCCTTCCACCATATTAGATGGTGATCGGATTTTCTCGGATACATAATATCAAATTATAATATTCTTGTGCTCAACTATTACGAATATCCTCCTACCATTCCTACTTAGTTTCTTGAATCATCAATTTTATTTTATTTTTGCTTTATAGTTATTTTCACACGCAGTTTCTTATGAGTGCTTGTAAAAGAGGTTATCCAAATTGGCTTTTAGTATTTTTGATTCAATATGAATTTTGTGATAGTGTGATGGGACAAACTCCTTTTGGTGTGAACATGGTGCTACTTGTGTGGAGATTGTTCATGAGAGAAGTACTCATCGTGGATTTGCTGGGAAGCATTCTGAGCTAGCTGGATTACCCTGTAACAAGATTTTCTGTTTCCATCATGTTCAATGCTTGGCTTAAGCAGGTTATATTTGCCACTGTCCGTCTGATTGGAAAGGAAGTGCTGATTGTTCTCTTCCAGCCATTTCAACAGATTATGTATTCTTCCTTCTCACTAGTCAACAGGTAATCAGTTTTTAAGCTCACACATTAGATTTTGTATTGCAGATTTTTACTCAAATTCAACGAATACTGAAGTGCCTAGAGCAAGTAGCATAAGTGATACCAATGTAAGCATGACACAAAATTTCCTTTCCTCAAATCACAGAAGTGATGATAGTGATGATGATTACGAAGGGGACAACGAAAATCACAGCATTGTATCTGAAAGGATTTATGCTGATACCTCACATATTTAGTAGTCAAGAACACTTCAGGACAAGTTTTCACAGGGTCTTTTAGCACTAGAATGTACTTTGAAATATTGAGCACTAGTTTTTATATGAACGTGTTTAATTCATTAGCACTAGAGTCTATTTGGTAATATTGAATACTAAGTTTTCAGAGGATTTTACTAGCACTATAATGCATTAATCAACTGGTTATGAGCTCGGTTCCTGACTCATGCGTATGGAGAATTCAGTTTGGGGAGAATCCATCTTGTGTATCCAACATGTTCTCTGACGGAGATTAGTCATTCACTAATGAAAGTTTATTAACTGATACACACTGTGTCTGTCTACCTACATAAACTTGTCTTGCCTCAAATGAATATCTTCCATAGTCTTTCTTTTAGCATTAGAAATAGTGTTTGAACAATTAAATCTAGTTGAATTAACGGAAAAACTAGTACATCTTTCATGCCAAATGAAAGCCATAAGAATACCAAGCACACAATAGCAAGAAGCCTAAATTGGCCCACAATTGATATAAATGGCGTGACCCGGATAGATAAGTTTTTATGTCAAAACTAATGCACTGGATCATCAGCGCCAAAAAATTATTTGATCGATATATACCTAAACCTCACGTTACTATAGCACATATCTTGAACAACAAATACCAGTGGACCATAAAGCCACCCTAGTGAATGTAACAAGATTGAAAATGCCATAATTCTTATGATATAGTACTACAACATATTACCTAGATAACAAAACACATATCCTCAGCTACTTTCACAAAACTGAGCCTTTAGCAGCTTCATAGGAGTCCTTGCTTGCAGTCCAAGGCATTTGTTACTCATTTACCATGCACCAGGTCTAGGAGTAGGTCCTTTCTCCATATAAGCAAAATTTCCCCTCCTTCCTCCTCCTCCTCGATTTCTTCTTCTTCCTCGATTCATCTTATACTCATTAGTACCGCAATGATATCCCGGATTCTTAGACCATGACATGTTATTTTCTCTCTTTCTGTTATATCCATCCCATGTTCCCCAATTTCCATTCCCACCATTTCTTCCTTGTTGATACTTGTTACACAAGTCACCACTGTATCCCTCCCTCCGATTCCATTCCTCATAAACATTTCGACTATCAACCAAAGCAGCACATTGTTCCCACGAGTTTGTTTCGTTATTTTGATGCTCCCACCCCGGGGAATCATAGTTTGTTTCAAAAGGCTTTGTTTCTTCCTCTTCATCCCCCCATCCCGGACCCGAAAAGGACTGATTCAACCTTAGAGAATCCCCGAAAATCACAACCTCCTCCCCTTTTTCTTCCACATTTGTAACCTCTAATTTTCTTTCCAAATCCAAATAAAGTTCACTATCGACGCTTGCATTCGAATCCACATCGTCGATATAAACATTAGGATCAGGCAACGGTATATCGCAAGGAAAGCGATTGATCTCAGCCCAAAACCTGCATTTCGCATTGTCAAAAGCCTCTTTGACAGCAGAATCATCCCAGTTCATCACATTCTCATGCAGACACATATACCTCTTGTTTTCCACCACCTTCCCCCACGGAACAGAACCAACCGAAACACAAAACTTCTTTTCCCACAAAGGCACCGTCGATTTCGGTTTTCCGTTATAAGACGAGGATCGCCACTGACCCACTTGATGATGACTCGTCCCTTGTTGTTTTCTCCAATTACCCATTTCAAGAAGAAAAAAGAATGACCCAGAAGTGGTTATTGAGCAAAACAGAAGAAAAAAGAATGATCCAGAAGTGGTTATTGAGCAAAACAGAAGAAAAAATAACGAAACTTTGGATAAAAAGGATAAACACAAACGGATTTCAAAAATGCACTAGGAAGAGGAACGACGGTGATGGTGATGGTGATGCTATCGATACAATAACAGAAGAAACAATGCTATATACTCCGTCGGTAATTAATTTATAAGAAGAAAAATTAACGCTTAATAAGAATTATAATTAAGTTTATTAAAAAAATTTATTCAATTTTATGTGTTAGATTGTCATTTCTTCATTGTGTCAAATTATTACTGAAAAGATTGTTCTAGAACAATAGCGTTAAATTTGCAGATATTATTATATTTTTCTTTATATGGAGGGGTCAATGCAAAAAGAAGTCAACATAGTAGCTTTCTATAAAAAAAATAATTTATTTTTTATATTGATTAAATATATAGTATATTTGATATGTAAAATAAAAAGGATTTGGAAGTAGTTTTATTTTCTTTGTTTTATTCCTTATAAAAAGATTGTTTACTATATGAAAATATTTTTTATTTTGTTTTTCATTTTTATTTTTTGTTTTACTTTTTTCTGTCAAATTAATTAAATTGGAATTTATAGTTGTAATGGATAAGATATTTGATTTTAATCTTTTAATATTAGTGACAAAATTATTTAATCAAATGTTTGACATATTGCATGATCAATTTTAATATAAATTAATTTTATAAATATTAAAATAAAAAACCAACAATAAAAAAATAAAATAAAAATATTTGTAAGAGTTAAACTGGAAGCAAAAACACGAATTTAAAATATACAAAACCATTATACATGTGGAAAAAAATTACATATATCTTTACAATATTACATTCAATTCTAATAAAATTAAAAATACTAAATTTACACATTTTATTATTTAATTATTTAAATTTTTATTAATTTTTTATTTTGACTTTTAGCCTTTTTTGGAGAAACCATGACTTATGATTCATGAGTTCAACTTCCTTGACATTTTGGATACTTAAGAGAAGAAAATGGTCAAAAAAAACTAAAAATTTCATCAGTAAAAAAATTGAATAATCTTATAATTGTATTTGTGAATAAATGTCAAATCAACTGAAAAGACTTACAGTTTAATTTACACGGTCGTAGGTTAGATGGATTTATTTAAAATAAACAAGATTTAGATTTTTCTTAAGTCTATTAAGGTAAAATTGTCATACTACATGTGTAACACTCTAATATCCATCATATAATTATCAAAGAATTTAACAAAATACAACAACTTAGGGTGTCACACACAATAAACATGGCATACTCTGTAATACGATTACAACAACAAAATTTAATGCAAACATTTGCACTTAGGATGTTTACACGGAATTAATTCATCTCATTTATACTTGGAATGTTTACACGACATCCAACTAATCTAGTGTCATCACAGCAGCATCATAAGTAAAGCAATTAAAAATTATATAACACTTATAGCATTTAGTCTCATAAACTAAAACTTTCATAACATAAGCAAAATGGGTGGTATAATCCAACTCTCGGCACTTTAAGATTTCAACCAAATATGATTAGTAAACTTCAACAAAACAAAGCCAAGCAAATGAACACAAACATTTTCATTTCGATGTTACACGATCACAGCAAGACCCTACTAATAAAACAACAAACTAATGGAAGTCATCCAAGAGTTATCTTCCACTTACTTTAACTAATGTTACTACTGAGTATCTACAAGATGCCTATGTAAAGGCAACATTTAAACAGAATGAGTGAGAATACATTTCAATAATTAACTGTAAAAACAAGCGGGAGTAGATTATCACATAACAACAACATACACATTACTCAATCAACACCAACGTATTAAGTATTCCCATCCAACAACACATCAATAACAATCAATACAAATGCAACACTTATGCAATATACTAAACACCGACTCGACATGCATGTGGTACCAAATATGAACACTCAGGTTCATTTCGCTCGCGATCCCCACCATAGGATCAAATTCCCTCTTGGAATTGGAGCACACAAAATTGCTACCATCACCATAGGAAACACTTCACTAATCCCCTATAATAAGAATTAGCTACTCGCACCCGACCCATCACCATAGGTCGAGGTTCACCAAAAATAACCGAAGTTCTAACAAAATGAATGCATGAACTCTCAGCATGCAGCAACAACAACACATACACATTGTACCCTATTCTAATCGTGTATGCCACCAGCAACATAATCCACATAAGTAACATGCATATACATAAAAATAAGCAACATCATTCGTACAACATCACAACCATAATCATGCTTAATTAATCATTTAACAACATCATATAAATATTTCATCATAATATAACAATCTATGTAATCAAATACTCAGATTATCATAACACATTCAGCCTCTAAAAACAATTTTATTAGATGATAATTCGTGTTAGCTTTCCAACACTTAGAATGATAACTCATTTGGACTTACAGATCAAAAGCTATGGCCAAAATGAATTCGATCAAAAAACAAAAACACCGACTCTCGCGCTGAGCGCGCCCTCCCTGGGCTAAGCGCAGTCGTGACAGACTAAATTCAGAACTTGTACGTTTCATTGTTGGAGGCTTTCTTGACGTCTGATTTCGATTCCGTAAAAACCCAAACGCTCAGAAAGTCACAAACTATGAAATACTCTAATTATCTTAAGTTAATTTACAGTTTTAACATAATTAAATCATCAAATCGTTATTTTAAGATTATGTCAAAAACCTTTGAAATTGCAATAATGGTCGATATAGTTTCTGTTGTAAATAGGATTCCTTGAAACAAATGATAAACGGTTTCTTTATAGACAAGAAACACACAAGGGTTAAGGTTAACAAAGAAAACAACAAAAAGAAACAACAAGGATTGGTTATAAACTACTATTCTTTCCTTTCTTTATCAAACAAGATTACAAATATATAATAATAACAAATAATCTCTCTCTTTTGAATTAAGATTTTATCTTCCTATTTTTCTTTATACAAGTTAAGAGACTAGCATGCTATTTAAAAGAAAACTAACACACTAACCTAATGGGCTTTTTAACAATTACCAATTACAAGTTAACTTAGGGTACAAGCTAACTTAAACAATTGGGCTTACAAGCAATGTAACACCCTTATTCTACCCCACAGATATTACAGCAAAATAACACGGATTTCAGAATAAAATATTAACTTTCATTAAAAAGCCACAAAAGGGCGTACATTTCTCAAAGTCAACAAAATTGGTCAATACTCCGTAACGACAGGTTTTCCTCAAAGTACATCAAACAACATAAAACAGTGGAACTCAAAGCATAAATCAAGGTTTCTCCTCAAAAGGGAACATCAGTAAAATAACCCAATGATATAAAATCAACTCAAAGAACCCAACCCGATGTTACATATCAGAGCAAGACCCTCTAAATTAACCATAAAGGCTAACGACTCTAAACTTCAAAATACTCCTCGACGGCGTCCACGGCTAAACTTGTTCATCAGCACGTTACCCACGTGGAGGTAACATTCAAACAGGCAGGGTGAGTAAGACAATTCATAATAACCAATGTATAACAATTAATTCATAAACGACATATTACTCATAATTACATTCAACACATTGATATCCTTCAAATATGCCTCAAAGGCCATAACGTCATAATTCATACACAAAGACTCATAGATGCAATGCGACACAACTCAATGCATGTAGTACCAATCATCACAGCGCGATAGACACTGAGCCATCAACCCTCCATAGATCCCTATTAATAGGATCGATTCTACTATAGAACCGGAGCACATCAAAATAATTCACATCCACACAGTGGGATTGAAGCCAAAGTAATCGAGATCCTGAACCGAAGTCCGGATGCACATGAATGCATGATGCACACTTCACAAATCATCCTTATAATAACAACCTATGGTGCATCATCATTCATCATATTCATCATACATCATAATTCCTCGTATTAATCATCATACGGCATATCATCATAATTCATCATATTAATCATCATACAACATATCATCATAACTCATCATATTAATCATCATACAACATATCATCATAATTCATCACATCAATCATCATACAACATATCATCATAATTCATCATATTAATCATCATACAACATATCATCATAACTCATCATATTAATCATCATACAACATATCATCATAATTCATCACATCAATCATCATACAACATATCATCATAATTCATCATATTAATTAATCCCACACATCATGTCATCATATAATCACGTATAAATCACATATTAACTCATAGTCATATTATCCCATATTAACTCATAATACTACCCCCATATCATCTCATATTAAATTATCAAGTTATACTCACGATAATCCTCACACTATTGCCTATCAATCACATAAACTTCACAGTTCTACTCATGTTAATTTGTCATATCATCACATAGTATTCACATATTAATCTCTAATATCATCTCACATTGCCTCATATTAATTCATCATAATTACACTCGCGGTAATTCTCATACTATCACTTATTGCTCACGCAACCTCACTATCATACTCATGGTAACCATCACATGCATTCCAGAATCAAACATCACGGCATCGCTGCACACAATCACTTTCGCGAACTCTTCTACGTTCGCTGGCTCGCTCGCTAGGCGAGTTGGTAGCGAGCCCCTCGGTGGCTTGCTCGCGAGGCGAGCCTCTAGCGAATCCTCGTTGGCTTGCTCGCTAGGCGAGTCTTGTAGCGAACCTTCGCTAGCTTGCTCGCTAGGCGAACAATGCGATGACAACAACTTCTGCTACGCACCAGAACCGATTTCCACCCAAAAACTCATACGATTCACACATCTCATGCCCCCAAAACATCCCTAAATCATCCCTAAGGTCATACGACGATAACGGTACAAATCTATGGTT